GGATGGATGGAGGGATGGATGGATGGAGGGACGGATGGAGGGATGGATGGTTGGATGGATGATATAAGATTTAGGTTGACTGTAAGATACAGTATGTTTCATGTTATACACAGATGTGCGGGAGAGATCGCAGCAGTTCCTAATACATACTGTGCAGTGGGAGTGGCCTATGGCGCTAAAGTCTCAGGTACATACATACATATGTTTGATAAATTAATTAATTTGCACATAGAATGCAGGATTCTGTAGAATTCAGATTCAGTAAAACCCGTACAATCAATGGCCTCTAAAAATTGATTCATAAGTGATGAGATAAGTGGTCTTGATATACCATATAACGGCTGTTTGTTTCAGGTGTGCGTATTCTTGATGGACCAATGACAGATAGCCTGGAAGCCATGGCATTCAATACTAAACTACACATCAATGATATCTACAGCTGCAGGTAATCATCATATAATATGATTGTTTTATATTATAGTTCATTCAAGGAGCAGAAGCAACTCAGTTGGTTAGTGTGTGGCCTCTAGAGCTAGAGGTACGTGGTTCAGTCCTCAGAATCTCCATGTCTTTTTTGACTTTTCTCTGTTCTGTGTAGTTTTAGCTTTAAATGCCCTTAATAGACCACTGATATTAGTCTGAAAGGGGTAAAGTGCACACTGTCGAGTGCTTTATGCATGACACCTTGGAATTCAAGTCAAGCAATATCCTATTTTTTGTGATTGGGAGGTACTATTGAGAGCAATAAATGGTTCTTGGAATATCCACCAACATGGCCATGGATGATGCACTAGCCCTTTGAACTTTCGATGATAATAGTTGAGTTCAGATTATAAACCTTTATTTTAAATAGCTAAATGTTGTTTATGACTTGTGTGTCTTGTAGTTGGGGTCCTGATGACAATGGTAAAACAGTAGATGGACCACATCAACTAGCCCAGGTGAGATTTACTAAAACTACTGACATTGAAACTGTGTAACAGACATACTCTACCAGTTGATCTGAAATAGTGGCATAGAAATCACACCTCAGTTGAGTGCAAAACTTTCTCGATTCTGATTGTTTGGGATATCGGTATATCAAGGTACGCCAAGATTGATACTCTTCCTTTACTCGTTAGTTTTAATATCATTCGAGAAATTACATAAATGTGTATCACGAGTATAGATCTATCTATAATTGTACTTACATATAGTGGGCGAATTACAGTGTAGAATCACAATAAAGCTCGGTATTTCAAAGAATCCGATTAGAATAGCGTATCGAGTATAATCACATATAAAATAATGATAATTTATTACTTATAACGCGCAAATTAGCATGTGTATATGATCAAATGCGCGTAAATCAGAATCAAATGTCATTCGTTTTACTTAATAGTGTTCGATATCAATTTCAAGCTAGATCGAGTTTCATGTCAAGTTAAATCATAAACAGTAACGTAAGATAATATAAATGTTTAAAGTATATAAATGTTCTCAACACTGATTGACTAATATTTTTTCTCAGATCAGCTTGTACACTGTAGGTTCTAAAATGATATTGTTTCCAATACTCCATTTTAAAGTTCCTAGCCAAGGCTGGAGCTTCTGTGCATAGCAACACTTCAGTTTATCATGCACGATAACTTGATCCAGCCTCAGCTAGGAACTATTATTCGTGGTCACTGAATGGAACTGTAAAATGGAGTATTGTCTGAGGGAAGGTCTAAAGTGTTGAGGGTGTGTCACCAACTGTACCCCAATCCCACCTGATAGAAACATTGTTCAGACATCATTCAAAGGGTCACAATCCCATAGAACATGGACCAAGATCTGCAGAAATGTTGAAAAAAGCACAACCTGCAGTCTCAGAGAAACAAACATGAATGATGAACTTTGACACCTTATGGTGTCTCCCCGATTAGCAAAGCACCTGTGCTGAGCTATTAGTTTTGAGACTTTAATAAAGTTTATTATTATATGTCTATGAGAATATATATATATTTGTGCTGCGGTTGTAATGTATCAAATTGAGCTGATCCTCACAGTATATGAAGCAACAGCTTATGCAGCTGCAAATTGTAAGACTCTTGAATGGGATTTGAACCTGTGGCCTGGCGATTCCAGTGCTGCTCTAAAGTTTATTATTATTATTGTTGAGTTTTCTTGCTGACGTTTTTCCCCCTGTAGGCTGCTCTTGCGCATGGTGTATTAGCTGGTCGTCATGGTTACGGCAGTATATTTGTCGTTGCATCTGGTAATGGAGGTCACTTTAAAGATAACTGTAACTTTGATGGATATGCTAACTCCATCTACACAGTAACGATAGGTGAGTATCATCCATTCAATATGCATACATGCTATTGTTATCAACCTGCACTTTACTCTAAGGGGTCGGTAAGTGGTCAAACACTTGCCAGCATCTTACTCTTACACATTACTGACAGCCCACTGCCACTTTAGCGTTACATTGCCAACCTACCTCTAATTGATGTAAGGAAATGAATCCTAATTTAAGTACAGTTCTTCAAATTGCGACCGCAACCCGATTAGCTCAGATGGTAAGAGCGTTGGTCTGTTGTGCAGGAGGTCGTGGTTCAAGCCTTGCCCGGACCAACACTCAGGGTCTTAAAATAACTGAGGAGAGGGTGCTGCCTTTGTAATTATATCTGCAAACGGTTAGACCTTCATGTCTTCTCGGACAAGGACTTAAAACCGTAGGCCCTGYCTGTCTTCACTATGTAACACTGTATAAGGAGGACATAAAAGGTCCACTGAAAACGCTGGTGATGACCATCTTCAGTGCCCATGCTAAAACTCTACCGTACAGGTCCCACTGTAATATTGGCATATAAAGCTGTTGTGGTGTCCCTGCCCTCATGGAGAAAAGCTAATAAAATCTAAATCTAAATCCAAATTTAAAGGTGTATTTTTTGCTAAAATATGGCTAACAAACCTTATGTCTGGATGCTACTCCTAATATATACTTTTGTAATGCAGGTGCTGTTGATGAAGTGGGTGACATGCCATACTATGCTGAACACTGTGCTGCTATGCTTGCTGTTACCTACAGTAGTGGACAAGGAATGCAAAGAAACATYGTGAGTGTCTTCCTTGATGATAAAACAACAGCCTTTCACAAGGCATTGATTGCCAGCACGTGTTAAATACAGTCATGTTATTGATATAGACCAGTTTCAAATTCAAAACTACATTGGCTGTGTTTCTTGATTACAGACTCATTTACACAGGGTTAGCCTCGTATCACTGTTTAAATATTCAAGAATAACAACAGTAAAGTAAAGAATGCACAACTTCAACAATACAAACACTTTGAAACTTATGAAATGTGTTTTTGTCACTCGGTAAAGATCTATTTGTTAAGTGTATGCTACATCGAGTGTATAAGCAGATTTAAAAAAATTGAAACTTGACAGTAGCCCTTGTCTGGAACATGTGAATATTCTGCACAAAATCAATGCTAACTCTACTTAAATGAGTCTGTAATCAAGAAACACAGTGGTGATTTTGGAAATCAAAAATCATCTATTGACCAGTGACTCTCTCAAATTTGGATTCCATTATCCACCCCATTATCAACTGCATTTACTACCATTATCATCAAAGTGCAACCCATAAAGCTTGATGTCTTATTTGCCAACTAGCATTTCAACAACCATCAATCAAATAACTGCAACAAAAATATATCTTGTGGGAGATTTTAGGCTGAATTGAATATCTTAATCCTCCGAAATCTTTAATTCAGTCCAAAATCTCCCTCAAAATGATTTTTTTATTGCAAATCTTTGATTGCAGTCATTGGAGTGTAGATTGTCAGGGAACATCAAACTTCACGGGTCGCACTTCAATGGTAATGGTAGTAATAATACTTATGTAAATATCATTCTGCACCAGGTCACTACTGACTGGAGGTTAGGAACTGGTACAGGATGTACAGACAAGCACACGGGGACATCAGCTGCTGCTCCTCTTGCTGCTGGAATGATAGCACTGATGATGCAAGCCAGGTATGTATGTTAAGACTGATGATACAGGCCAGGTATGTTAAGACTGATGATACAGGCCAGATATGTTAACACTGATGATACAGGCCAGGTATGATGGTACTGATGATACAGACCAGGTATTAATAAGTACTCATGATGACTATTCACAGTGGTCAGACTCGTACACATGTATGAGAAACCATTAATTAGCATAATAACTTTGGTTCAAGCTGCATATCTGTACTTTCTCCCTGTACTCACTTCCCTGACCTGCTGTTGCTCTCCTTGGTTTTCTTTATGCCCATCCTCCCTCCCTCGCACTGTTTTGGAACTTTGTGGAGCTCTATGTTTACTTCTCCATTTCTCAGTCAGGAGTACAGCGGGACCACCGTGAATGAAATACTATCTTTCTGACTGCTAGTCTTACTGACTGCCTATATGAAGTTTTTTTGTTGGAATGATAATCGTATGGCATTCATCATTCTCATTCCTTGTATTCAGGCCGTGTTTAACATGGAGAGACGTACAACATGTCATTGCCATGTCAGCTTTCAAGGTTAGTAAGTAAAATAAATAGCTAATAATAAGTAGAATAAATCACTTTTAATATATTTGGATTTCCAATTTGGCCCACTGTCACTCACTTACACTCACACTGTCACTCTTTCACAGTGTGTAATTTACCCTTTTATCATTACTGTTTCATTAGAAACATAGACGCAGCTCACACTAGCTTTTAGCTAATTATCTCTTCTTGTCACTCACACTTACCACACTTACCACAACGTTAATATATTCCACGCATAAAACTTTTAACTAGCATGTTGACATTTACGAGGGGGAGGGGTGGAGGGGCTGGAGAAATCCTTGTGGCAAGGGAGCGAACAGCACATCAAACAAACTCCACTCAACATTGGTTACATGCAAGCATTATCAGCATAGATTACCTATACCTCCCTGTATACATCCATCAAGAGTTTCACTACTCTAAGCGCATGCTCAAGGGGTCAAAAAGTGGGATCACAGGTTGTAAAAATTGCTATATTTTAATTGTATTTTTCTTATCAAGCACAATTTTCATTAAATATTCAAGAGCAAGTAGTGTAAAGCTAATTCCAAATACAATATAACAAAATATAGCACTTTTTACAGCCAATAATCCCACTTTTTGACCTCTTGAGCATGTCTTAAAGAAGTAGCTCAGAACTCTTGATACATGTATAGGTTGTCTTGTATCTGTCTTGTATCTGCTCATCATAGTATTGCTGTTATCCCGAGGACTAAACTATTCCTTACCATCCCCTCCCTCAGCATTGTATTGCTGTTATCCACGAGGACTATACTATTCCTTACCATCCCCTCCCTCAGCATTGTATTGCNATCCACGAGGACTATACTATTCCTTACCATCCCCTCCCTCAGCATTGTATTGCTGTTATCCACGAGGACTATACTATTCCTTACCATCCCCTCCCCCAGCATTGTATTGCTGCTATCCACGAGGACTATAATGTCCGTTACCCTCCCATCCCCCAGCATTGTATTGCTGTTATCCACGAGCACTAAACTATTCCTTACCCTCCCCTCCCCCAGCATTCAGTAGATGATGATGATTACCATACGAACAACGCCGGCTATCATCACAGTCATAAGTATGGATTTGGCGTCTTGGATTCCTGGAGACTGGTAACCACTGCACAGGTGAGTCACGTGACAGTGACGATATCATGTGATTGGTCAATTAATGTTTAACCGTGACCATGACGTGTGTCGCCGGCAAATGTTAATTATTTTGATATCAGGACCTTTACTAATTAGCAATTAGTCCTTTAGCAACCATGTGACTCAAAATCCCTTGAGATATGAATAACGATGAAACATCCGGCATCTTGGTTGGTCTAACAAGGGAAGCTAATGAGGAATGTCTTGTTATCGTCAATAATAATAATAATAATAATAACTTTATTCTTATATAGCGCCATTTCCATTTCTGTCCAATGACGCTTTACAAATTATAATTAAACACTAAAAATATGCGGTAAAATAATTAAGAAATATATGAAGATGTTAAGATATATATACATTAAAATTTATTTTCCTAGTTAGACCCAGCCTTTACACCGAACCCCACATGTGCCGAATCCAACGCAAACGAAAATTGCGGCTATGACGTAACATGCACCTGCTCTATTGGTTCATAGGTCTTGATGGGAAAGGGACTAATTGTTTTAGTCAAATCCAACCAGTCGATAAATTATATAAATATATATAGATGCAAACAAATTTTGAATTAAAGTTAAATTCATTTTTTTGGTTTTCAAAGCCGGCACGTTTCGCTACTAGTAGACTATAACTTATGACCTAGTATTAGCTCAACCAATCAGAACGCAGCATTGATGATAGACCACAAGTTGGATTTGACTAATGCCTCGTTGGTCACGTGATTGATTTTAGATGTGGAAGAGCGTTCCTTGGATGACGTCATGGTCATCGCCCGTCATTCATGTTAACAGAGCCATCCCATCAACCAATAAGATGACAGAGAGTTATCGAGGTAAATAAACAAAAGAATAAATAAATACTGTCACATGTTAAGAGCTTGATATCGTTTTTATTCACGTTTCCATATCGTATCGCAAACAAGCAGGTGAAAGAAATTAACACGTAATAATTTGTTTATTGCACATTTAGGGTCGATACAATAGAGCGCGTGCAGTAAAACCATGAAATAAAAACAAAGTTGATACTGACAAATAGTAGCTATTTAAGCCCCGTCCACACGTATCCAGAAATTTTTGTATCCGCAAATTATTTTTTGCGGATACGAAAATGTTTGCGTCCACACGCAACGTATTCGAATCGCTTTCACCGTCCACACGTATCCGTTTTCGTAAAATGTGCGGATACAAAAATTTGCGGATACAAAAATTTGCGGATACAAAAATTTGCGGATACAAAAATTTGCGGATACGTGTGGACGGGGCCTTAGTGACTAATACACAGTATTTGTCTTTGTACGATGAATGTTCTGGTTGAGTGATAGCAACTATTACTCACTAAATAGTGCTACTTGTCAGTATCAACTTTGTTTTTATTTCATGGTTTTACTGCATGCGCTCTAACAAAACTTACAGTTTCCATTTTACCATGAAGTAAAAAGATTAAGATTCCCGTTTTTCCTATCCGCAAACGGCAAACGTGACCACGTTTTCATCGTTTCCCAACATTTCACTTTACCTTTTGCAAACCTTCTCGACAAAGACAAGTATTCTTTTGTTAATCTACTACTTGGAGATTTTTGCGATTCCTTTTCACTAATTTTAAAGAATTTTTTAATGGTCAACTGACGGTTCACGTTTGCCGTAAACGAGAAACTCTCTAGTATCGTATCACTTCACTGATATGGTTTTAATTCATTCACGACTTTATCCCACTGACATCAAACCTAAATGTGAAACAAATATTTTTATTTGAGTTCCTAGTCGTGCTGCTGCTTCTGCACCTATTGGGGGCACATTTCACTCACACACACTACTCCTATATTCAATATTCTATGCACACAACACTCAACTTACTTGCTTTTTATGGAGGGAGGAAAACCAGAGAACCTGGAGAAAAATACTCGCGGCAAGAGAGTTAACAACAAATCAACTCTCTTACCAGCCTGCGCGAGGATACTCAGTGGAACGCAAGCCTCCTGTTACAAACCTAGCGTTAGTGAGAGGTTGATGCATTAGTGGAGTAGAGACCACCCATACTACGCAATATAGCCAATACTGAGTTGCGCCGTTAATATTTATAATGTTTTACACTGCAACAAATGTTTTGGTTTGTTTCACAGTCACCAGGGAACAAGTGGCTGAAGTCGTTACCCTAGAACACGTGACTGTTACAGTAAGTATTGATACGTGGTCTTCTGCTCAAACGCGAGGAAAACTGATATGAATATCAACCTTTATGTTCTTGTATTACCAACTCCGCGCGCAACAAAATTTTATGAGTGCAAAGAGTAGAGAGAGTTTCTACTTCGCGCAACAATGAAAATGTTTTGCGCGCAGCAAGAAGTCGTGATACTAGCAGCATTCTCTCTGTAGCTTGAACGCAAAGATGTTGCGCGACAAGATGCGCGACAAGTTGCGCGATTTCGTTGCCCGTATAACCGCACCTTTAGTCAGAAGAGTACAGGCTTATGCAAAGTTACTTGGTGCTTTACTTGACAGAAACGAGTGGAACCCAAAGAGATTTAGGGTGACAAACGACAATCAGGACGAAGCTGGACACTAGTATGTCGCTAGTGGACTGGGCAAAACGTTTGAGTGAAACATAATAAATAACATATAACACAACACGATACAACACAACGCAACACCAACACAACATCAACACAACACAACGCAACACAACGCAACACAACACAACAC